TTCTTTCTCTCTCTTTCTCTCTATTATTTCTGTTTGTCTGCCTTGCTTTCCCCCCCCCCCCCCCTGCTTTAAATGACCACTATCATGTTAATGTGCTTCTCTTTTCTAAAACAAACAAACAAACAAACAAACAAACAAACAAACAAACAAAGAAACAAACATGACTTTGGACTTAAAAAATGGGTTACTTTCTTTTCTGTACCTTTATTGTTTCTGTCTGTCTGTCTATCTGTCTGTCTGTCTGTCTGCCTGTCTGTCTGTCTGTCTGTCTGTCTGTCTGTCTGTCTGTCTGTCTGTCTGTCTGGCTTACTCTATCCTGCACTAAATAAATTACTGTTATTGAGTCAACATACTACTCCTTAAAAAAAAACAACCCCAAACTAGAGAGGAATTTTTTACCCCAACCCTCAAACAACGTGAGAGTGAACTTTGAACCTTTCCCGTTGTCTTTCCAGGATTATGGATGAACACGAAAATGTTGACCTGATGTTGAACGGACCCGACCTATGTGATGTGGTGAGGATTTTACTACGTTTTACTTTAGACTCTTTGTCTTGGTTTCCTGTCTGGATGCATAGAGCTTGCTGTTGAGTGGGAATTTGTGCTATACAAATGCTATTTATCTATTATTATTATTATCTTACTACTAATGGAGCTAAGGCCAAATTTTGCGAACAGTATATTCTCAGAAACTACAATATGAAAAAATATGAAACTTTGCCGGTACCCATAACTTGAAACGTAGTGTTGCACTATTGTATTTTTCATTAAGATCAAATGTGTAAGAAGAAAGCCCATTTTAAGTTAAATTCAGTCCTTTTGTAGCGATCGCCATCATTTGCTTCGACATTGTATATTCACTGCGGAGTGCCGACTGCGCCGAAGGATATTTTATGTTCAGTTATACACACAGAATTCTACACTTGTTATTTATAATGCACCTCCACTTTGTAGAATTTTTGTCTGAACGAATTAACCCCCCCCCCCCCCCCCCCCCCCCGAGTTCTCGTGGTCTACATGTGGGGTGGTGTGATCTGAGAAGAGCTGTTGGAGTGTTTGATCTCAGTCTCAATGGTTGGAGGAATAACTCATCATGTGTGTTGTGTGTGATTGTGATATCATCTTTGTATGAATATACATGTGATCGGAATGTAATTATTGTGTGACTGTTGTGTGATTGTAATGTAGTTGAGCAGCATGAGGGGCTCAGTTCTTATGACTAGTTCAGATGAAAATGTTCTGAGTACATAGAGCCACAAATGACTGTTATTGTTTTATCAATGTGTTTCTCTTTACTCTAACAACAAAGAGCCATAAATGAGTGTAGCAAAGAGCCATAAATGAGTGTAACAAAGAGCCATAAATGAGTGTAACAAAGAGCCATAAATGAGTGTAACAAAGAGCCATAAATGAGTGTAACATAGAGCCATAAATGAGTGTAACAAAGAGCCTTAAATGAGTGTAACAAAGAGCCATAAATGAGTGTAACAAAGAGCCATAAATGAGTGTAACAAAGAGCCTTAAATGAGTGTAACAAAGAGCCATAAATGAGTGTAACAAAGAGCCATAAATGAGCGTTATTGCAACATCAATGTGCTTCTTTTTACTCACACAAATAAGAGCCACAGAGGGCTGGGTCTGATCCTGCTGTGTGTTTTCCCCATTGTTCTAGATCGCCGACCACCACTGGATGGAGGCGTACGGCCTGCGGGAAATACCCCAAGAGTACAGCGGAGAGTTTGTCGAGGAACAGGAAGTGGAGGAGAGCCCATGGCAGCAGCCGGCACTTCCTGAAGGTCAAACAGAACCAGACATCGCGGCTCTGGAGGAGTCCAAGGGTTCGAGGCGATCGTCAAAGAGAGGCTCCGCTCACTCTCAGAGGTCAGTGTGGGTTATATGTAACTCCCAAGGAGAAAAATTACAAACCTACCGACCCCCCGGGGCAGTGCCACTGACTGCAGTTTCTTTAGGCCATTTCCAAAGGGGAGACATTTCTTGTTCAAGCACAGTAGAATTGTAAATGGGCGGATTCATCATGTCATGCCCATAACTGTGCCTGATCTACATCAGGGAACTGCTGCTTTTTCTTTCCTAGT